GTATGTGCACACACACACACACACACACACACACACTTTTCTTGTGACATATTTATAACAAACATTGATCTCCATCAGAAAGCAGTTGAGACTGATAGAATGATACAGAAGCTCTGCGTGATACAGGATGGACTATAACTACAGTAAGGCATGATAAAATCCCAGTGCACTACAATGAAATGGAAAAAGATTCTCTATTTAGAGCCAAAGCTGTGTGTTAATGGCCAATAACACACTGAACTAGTGTGGATGATTTTAAAGATGAAACCCATGCATTAGACAGAGGAAACAGAGTATCAACATGCATCATCTGACCCTAAAACTTTAAAAAATATAATATAATATAATATATAATAATAGGGCGTGTGAATGTCTATGTGTGTGTGATGGAATGCATGGCTGCACTAAGGTGACTGCTTTAATTTCAGGAGTTACAGATCAAAACAAACAGCTTTCCAATAAAAGCTGCCTGACACATTCAAGATAATAATGATATCCAGCCAGACATGAACACAAAAGACAAACAGCAAAACAAAACAAGTGACAAAAAGAAATTTGTCCATATATATGAACTCATCCAACAGCACATGCCATAAAACCAACAGCCGTTTCTAACCTTTAAAAACATATAATACTGAAATAAATAACAGCAAGTTTTTGATAAACATCTTCATGTGTTGAGAGAGTCAGTAGTTTGGGGGTTCTTTTAGCTCTGTTTGGGATACCCAGTGTGCTTTTGTGCATACAACACTCTTTGAATCTAAAAAAAACTATTTTCTTATTTGTCTTTTGCCCATTTGCACAATTTGCCCTTTTTTTATTTGCCCATTTGCACAATTAAGCCCATTTCTCCGTCAATTCTCATTACTGTAATTCAACCAATAATAAATTATGTTATTTAAATTGTAAAGTACACAAGTAAGGATCACTGCATTACAATAGTGAGAATTTGGGATTAAAACATGCTTAATTATCCTGAAAATAATGCAACAATGCAATCATAATCTCCATAAAATAGGCTTAATATTCTTTGTGTTTTCAGTTGAATTTCATTTCATATTTCACTGGGACATTTCTTCATGAGATTCACCCAACAGTGGAATGGTGGAGGGCCCAAACCATCTGAAACGTCATTAAACCTCATTTAGGAGTCTAGATCTCACCTGAACTAGCTCTAGCTCTGCTGAAACCTGTGGAACACGGATCTCATGCTCTTGATACGTTCGTATGATGAAAACCCAAACAATCCCATCATGCACTGGGTCTGGACTGTACCATCTCTTTGGAAATGATTCCTGAAGATCAGAGATGTAAACTTGAGGAAGTTCTTGAGGAAGAAACAAGCTCTGGGACAGTGCATGGATGCAAAGTTTTCTTTCCGGCAGAGTTACACCAGACATGACTATTTACTAGCTAATCAACATCACCACACGCTACTAACAAATAAACACCTACGTTAATGAAGTCAGCTGACCTTTTTTACTGAGACTAAGTTATTAATCTGATATGGATGAGTGCAGAGGACTAGAGTATGTTCCGCAACTGGATATCCATATTAGCTAGCATCCGAGAGAAAAAAAAAATATCTGGTAGGGTAAAGCAATAAATAAAATATCCTAGCATCATACATATTCATAGATATTTATAAATGTATAAGATTATACAGCCCCCTGAACTTATTCTGGTTGTGATATGAAAAGACATTAGTGTTAGAATGAGTTATTTTGACCTTCATTCTTCCTTTCGTAACGTTCATTAAGTGAAACATCTCTGAAATATTAGTTTAAAAGGTGAATCTCACAAAAATATCCAGGTCAGTACTGGGTTATTATTATTATTATTTTGTATTGTGCTGCTGTGGATATGTGTTTTGAGCATTTCTGTTATTGACATTATTCTCAATGTTGATTTTCATTAATAATACCTTCACTGTATTAATTATTAATTAATTACTGCAATCAAGTGAATTCCAATTATTTTATTTAATCGGCATATGTTAGCAAACACTGTACAAAGTCAAATGAAGTTAAAATGATTTTTTTTTCTTTTTGCATTTCAGTCATCAGAATTTTGGGAGGAAGTGCTTAAATGTCATTAAAATATCATCACAATGTCAAAATATTAATTGTCTTAATGAGCTTAATTTTCTTCAAGCGAAATAGTTTCTTTTGATTGTGGGGTCAATTGTGATCTGAACACATACTTGACAGGTTTCGTGAGATTCACTCTTTTATTGAATAAATAGAAATGATGAAGAAGTGCAAAACGAAGGATTGATGACATGATCTAAATTGCATTCTCTTTAAGTGCGTGGCTTATTTACCTATAATCATTATTTTTTATTTATATATTTTGGCTCCCTGTTCCTGCCGTGTGATTGGTTGAGGTGAGGTGATTGACAGGTCTACACACGAGTGAGGAAGCCCACATTGAGGCTGCCGGGTATCTGAATAGTTTCCAGGGCCAGGGAGGAGGGGTTAAAGGGGAAGGTCACGGGGTAGATGAGTTTGGTGTCCATCAGCAGCTGAGGCGACTCCTTTCGATCCCGTAAACGTGTCTGGCAGAGGAAACACACAGACAAACATGTAGAAGATTGACTTAAAAAGCACAAGAACTATTATAAGGTTGAGTTATGAAACATACCTGTATTGTTCTTATGAACAGTACTGACACACGCTCTTCAAACGCGTTGACAGGTGTATACAAGTTCAGCACCTTCACAATCTGGACAGAAAAGAAGAAATGATGAAAGTGTGTGTGTGTCGGGTATGATAAACTGAAACTAAAACCAAACTAACACATTTTCATTACTTTAAAATAAAATAAAATAAAATAAAAAATATGAAAAAGTTTTATTTCAACATTTTCATTTTCATTTTGTTAAATTTGCTGTACTAAAATAACTACTGAAATAAAAAATTATAAAAACTATACAGACAAAAAATACAAAAATCACTAAAAATGACAAAAACAACATAACTATTAGAGCCCGACCGATATGGGTTTTTTGGGGGCCAATGCCGATACCGATATTAGGGAGTAAAAAAAGACAGATACCGATACATCGGCCGATATTCTTTATGTGTAGGCTATATTATAGTACAGTATAGTCAAAAGTTTGGACACACTTCCCATTCGTGTGTCCAAACTTTTGACTGGTACTGTATATAGAATACAGTATATAGCCTACATAAACAGAATATATATACATAAACACATTTTTTGCAATGATAACTCAAATGTGGTGATCAAACACTTATAATGATGTGACAAACATAGGCCTATGTAGTGGAGGCAGGGTATTTAACAATTTAACAATAAACTTTATTATTCAAAATGAGTCTGACATCAGTGCACTTAACAGTAAACTTCACTTCACTTATTATAAATAACTTAACACATCAAAAATAAGACAAATTCCATGAAATTCCGCGTTATACAGTAAATTCAGTTTTTATAAGCCCATTTCTCCGTCAATTCTCATTACTGTAATTCAACCAATAATAAATTATGTTATTTAAATTGTAAAGTACACAAGTAAGGATCACTGCATTACAATAGTGAGAATTTGGGATTAAAACATGCTTAATTATCCTGAAAATAATGCAACAATGCAATCATAATCTCCATAAAATAGGCTTAATATTCTTTGTGTTTTCAGTTGAATTTCATTTCATATTTCACTGGGACATTTCTTCATGAGATTCACCCAACAGTGGAATGGTGGAGGGCCCAAACCATCTGAAACGTCATTAAACCTCATTTAGGAGTCTAGATCTCACCTGAACTAGCTCTAGCTCTGCTGAAACCTGTGGAACACGGATCTCATGCTCTTGATACGTTCGTATGATGAAAACCCAAACAATCCCATCATGCACTGGGTCTGGACTGTACCATCTCTTTGGAAATGATTCCTGAAGATCAGAGATGTAAACTTGAGGAAGCTCTTGAGGAAGAAACAAGCTCTGGGACAGTGCATGGATGCAAAGTTTTCTTTCCGGCAGAGTTACACCAGACATGACTATTTACTAGCTAATCAACATCACCACACGCTACTAACAAATAAACACCTACGTTAATGAAGTCAGCTGACCTTTTTTACTGAGACTAAGTTATTAATCTGATATGGATGAGTGCAGAGGACTAGAGTATGTTCCGCAACTGGATATCCATATTAGCTAGCATCCGAGAGAAAAAAAAAATATCTGGTAGGGTAAAGCAATAAATAAAATATCCTAGCATCATACATATTCATAGATATTTATAAATGTATAAGATTATACAGCCCCCTGAACTTATTCTGGTTGTGATATGAAAAGACATTAGTGTTAGAATGAGTTATTTTGACCTTCATTCTTCCTTTCGTAACGTTCATTAAGTGAAACATCTCTGAAATATTAGTTTAAAAGGTGAATCTCACAAAAATATCCAGGTCAGTACTGGGTTATTATTATTATTATTTTGTATTGTGCTGCTGTGGATATGTGTTTTGAGCATTTCTGTTATTGACATTATTCTCAATGTTGATTTTCATTAATAATACCTTCACTGTATTAATTATTAATTAATTACTGCAATCAAGTGAATTCCAATTATTTTATTTAATCGGCATATGTTAGCAAACACTGTACAAAGTCAAATGAAGTTAAAATGATTTTTTTTTCTTTTTGCATTTCAGTCATCAGAATTTTGGGAGGAAGTGCTTAAATGTCATTAAAATATCATCACAATGTCAAAATATTAATTGTCTTAATGAGCTTAATTTTCTTCAAGCGAAATAGTTTCTTTTGATTGTGGGGTCAATTGTGATCTGAACACATACTTGACAGGTTTCGTGAGATTCACTCTTTTATTGAATAAATAGAAATGATGAAGAAGTGCAAAACGAAGGATTGATGACATGATCTAAATTGCATTCTCTTTAAGTGCGTGGCTTATTTACCTATAATCATTATTTTTTATTTATATATTTTGGCTCCCTGTTCCTGCCGTGTGATTGGTTGAGGTGAGGTGATTGACAGGTCTACACACGAGTGAGGAAGCCCACATTGAGGCTGCCGGGTATCTGAATAGTTTCCAGGGCCAGGGAGGAGGGGTTAAAGGGGAAGGTCACGGGGTAGATGAGTTTGGTGTCCATCAGCAGCTGAGGCGACTCCTTTCGATCCCGTAAACGTGTCTGGCAGAGGAAACACACAGACAAACATGTAGTAGATTGACTTAAAAAGCACAAGAACTATTATAAGGTTGAGTTATGAAACATACCTGTATTGTTCTTATGAACAGTACTGACACACGCTCTTCAAACGCGTTGACAGGTGTATACAAGTTCAGCACCTTCACAATCTGGACAGAAAAGAAGAAATGATGAAAGTGTGTGTGTGTCGGGTATGATAAACTGAAACTAAAACCAAACTAACACATTTTCATTACTTTAAAATAAAATAAAATAAAATAAAAAATATGAAAAAGTTTTATTTCAACATTTTCATTTTCATTTTGTTAAATTTGCTGTACTAAAATAACTACTGAAATAAAAAATTATAAAAACTATACAGACAAAAAATACAAAAATCACTAAAAATGACAAAAACAACATAACTATTAGAGCCCGACCGATATGGGTTTTTTGGGGGCCAATGCCGATACCGATATTAGGGAGTAAAAAAAGACAGATACCGATACATCGGCCGATATTCTTTATGTGTAGGCTATATTATAGTACAGTATAGTCAAAAGTTTGGACACACTTCCCGTTCGTGTGTCCAAACTTTTGACTGGTACTGTATATAGAATACAGTATATAGCCTACATAAACAGAATATATATACATAAACACATTTTTTGCAAAGATAACTCATATGTGGTGATCAAACACTTATAATGATGTGACAAACATAGGCCTATAGTGGAGGCAGGGTATTTAACAATTTAACAATAAACTTTATTATTCAAAATGAGTCTGACATCAGTGCACTTAACAGTAAACTTCACTTCACTTATTATAAATAACTTAAATAACACAAATAGACCAAAATATATATAACTTGAATTAAGAAATTAAACAAGGTAACAGTGTAAGGCAAGCAAGATACTGCCAAACCAACAGGGGCAGGTTTATGCAGGAAGCACAGCTTTTCCCAAATGTAAACATCTAAAATGAATAAATAATAATAATAAATAATATTATTTTTCCCAAACTCTGTGTTGTGTATTTTCTGGTAATCAAATGAACATGCAGAACATTCGTATTTAAATCGTCTTTTTGCAGTTTAATATTCACAGACACAGTATATATATATATATATATATATATGTACTGACTTGTTTTTTATTTATTCATCAAAAATAAGAGTTATACAGTAAATTCCGTTTTTATGACTGGATTCCGCGATTCCGTTCATGTTTTCTGCATCGCGGAAATCATAGGGCCCTACTAATGTAGCAAACGAATATGATAAGCTCATTGTGAGAGTAAAAGACGGGGACATTGTTGTTTATTTACTTAGCATTGAGTCTCTCCAACTAGGTTGCTACTGCTTATGTTAGCTTTTAATATACGGTTGCATCCTGATTAAAGCTTTAATACAGTACGGTAACTGCACGCATGTCCATGTATAACGCTTTTCCCAGCTATGTGAAAATAAGTGTATAACTGGAACAGTTCATTGTTGGAGCTGAGCTGAATGAGAGAGAGAGAGAGAGAGAGATGCAGAGCGTGTGCAGAGCAGGGGGACGCGAGGAACAATTTTAAGAACCGCTGCTCTAGAACATTGATTTTGAAACTTGTGAATCCATTAGAATCGTTAGAAGACAGAATCGCGATTCATATATGACTAGATTTTTACGTGCACCCCTAGTTTTCTCTTCCTCTTCTCTAAGCAGCGCAGCATGGCCTCGCCCCCTTTGCTGCCTTTTCCAGAGGGCGGAGTTTATCTGGGTTTGTGATGTCACGAACCCGGGAAGTAACTTGTTGTAGTCCCTACCAGCCGTTTTTGTAGGCATTAAACTGCCAGAATTTTAAAAGACGATATCTCCATTTGCATTGAACTTTCAGCTTCGTAACTTTGCAGATATTGTTTATGCTCAAACAGCAACATTACACACTAACTAATGTTAAAAAAGTGAAATCGCAATCAACCACCCCTTTAAAAAAATAATGAGCGACTACAATAAGCAGGCCATTATGTTTGATCATGGGTGAGTGACATTAGCAGGCCTGAAACGTAAAAAAATGTCTGTTTCAAATAATTAATACTGGATGGTATGAAATCTACTAACACAACTAAAATGGTAAACATGGAAAATGAATCAAGTGGTCTATAACAAATAAAAACAGATCATGATCATTTGAAATGCAGTCTGGTGTGCTTGTTACCTGTGCTGTAGAGAGGCTGTTACACATGGAGCAGATGGCCTCAGCATCCTCATCCGTCTTCTTCTTGACCTGCAGTAGTTGTGCGGCCTGAATCAACGGCTCCAGCGTCTCTTTCGCACCGCATGTCATGAGGTTCTTATCTCTCAGCCACTCCTCCAGCTGACTCACGTTATACCTGAAAACACACACACACACACACACACACATATAAAACTAAAATATGGCCAACAATCCTGATCTAACTGTACATAAAATGTAATCTTCCAAAAGATTAGGGTCGGTAAGATTTTTTAGTTTTGAAAGAAGTCTCTTATGCCCCCCAAGGTGGCAGAAAATATAGTAAAACAGTAATACTGTTAAATATTATTAAAATTTAAAATAACAGTTTTGTATTCTAATATATTTTAATTAGGGCTGTCAGTTTAACGCGTTAGCAATTAATTAGTTATGAAAAAATAACGCGATTAAAATATTTTAACGCAGTAAACGCACTGGCCCCACCCCCAGACCTGTACGTCATCTGGTTGACTGTTGACAAATATGATAACTCCATAAATTACTAAAATTTAAGATATTGGTGCAAAAAAATGCCCCTGTATGAGTTGTCGTCTCATATTTATATCATATGATAAGCGATATCACACGAGCAGAGAGAGCAGTATTACACGAGTGCTGATTTTGTCCTGAATATCACAAGTTTAGTAAACAGTAGTGAAACAGTTCAGTAAATATGAAGTTGATATTGTGTTATATTTTAAATGCAATATTATCTGTTTTTGTTCAATTTTGCAGAGAACATATTACCTTTAAAGCCACAGCAGAATTGTTGTGCGTCTGTGAGCAACACAGCGGTGTTTAGTTTCTGAATGAATCCTCATTTTGAATGAATCTTGTGAACCAATGATTCAAAGGCCCATTCATAGAGAGAGCCGTTTACTTCATTCCTGAATGAATCAGCCGTTTGAAAGAATCAAATGAATGAATGACACATAAAGACATTTACCGCCACTGGCAGATTTAGTTTCTTATTTGAAGTATAATTTCATTAAAAAAATAATAATAATAATAATAAAAATAATAATAAATAAAAACATTAAAAGGATAGTTTACCCCCAAAATGTTTAACTCTATCATCATTTACTCACCCTCATGTCCTTTCAAACCTTTCTTTTGTGGAACATAATGTTGGTAACAAAGCTGTTTTGGTTACCAATGACTTTCTTTGTATAAACCAAAAAATACTGAGATGTTTCTCAAATGATCTTCTTTTATGTTCCATAGTTTATGTAGCCTAAACATTTATGTGTAATAAATTTTATTTTGAATAAAATTAAATATTTATTTCTAAAGCTACAATTTGTAATGTATACTTTCTCATTTAACACAATAATGGCTTTAAATGATCTGGGTATTGTCACAGTCAAATTTAATTTGCGATTAATTAGATTAATTAATCTACACATCATGTAAGTAATTAGATTAAAAATTTTAATCGACTGACAGCCCCAATTTTAATATGTAATTTATTCCCATGATGGCAATGTTGAATTTCCAGTAGCCATTACTTTAGTCTTCAGTGTCACATTAATCTTTAGAAATCATTCTAATATGCTGATTTGTTACTCAAGAAACATATCTTATTATCACTACTGAAAACAGATAAATAGAAAGTTAAAAAAGAACAGCATTTATTTGAAATATATATTTTTTGTAGCAATGTAAGAATCTATACCATCACTTCTGACTGATTTAATGCATTTTTACTACATCTCATTTGGATCTTCAGACTCTGATCAATTATAATATTGTCTGGCTTTTCACAATTTCTAGGAATCAGCATGATGAGGTTTTTATTAGTCGTGTTAGTACTAGGTTAGTGAAATGAGAGTTTCTGAGAAAGAACTAGTGGTTGTGCCAAAGTTAATAGGACAGGAAAACTATTTAATATTCCACAATTACTTTTTTTGTAAGAATATTTAAGGTAAGAAATAATTAAACGTATAGTTTAGATTAATTTATACTTCATTAATATTCTGCATATCACTATTTTTATTTAATTTGTAATTTTGTAATTTTTATTGTAATTTATAATAAATAATAAATAAAAATAAATAATAAAATGTTAATATTTATTTTAATATTAAAAAAAAAGGATGTTCAATTGCATTATTTTTCTCAGTGGTGTCAAAATTATTTTCAAGAATTATGAAGAATTATTGTTATTGACTACTACAATTTACAATGACAGCCCTATTTGGTTACAACTGTATTTATCTGGTCTGCATATATTTTGCACTGCTTTATCTGCACACACCTGATCTGCATGCCCTTGCTCCAGGAGCACATGTCTTTACGCAGCAGCAGGTTGTTGAGGGTCACGGCGCCGATGACGTAGAACTGCTGCTTGACCACCTGTTTGATGAGCTCTGGGTCGGTTCCGTGCTGACACATGATGGAGTGGAAGGAGTTGAGCTGCCGGATGATGGAGTCCAACGTGTATGTCCCCTCATCAGCGATACTGGACGTCCTCTTACGGAGACCCGTGGGCTTCACCCCGGACACACCCTGGATGGTTTCATGCTCCAGCATGCCAGAGACTGCAGAGAGCAACAGACGGAGGGATAAATACACAGGGAGAGAGAAACAGATGGATAGAACGGCACCCAGAGGTCACATGCTCACCGATCATGGGCTGCAAGATGTTCTCCATACACTTGATGAGCTGCTGGTAGATCTGAATGGCCAGATCACTCAGAACCTGCCGGTACTCGGCCAGGTCAAAGTTGGAGAGACAGTGATCGTTCTGTTTAGGAGTGTTATGCTTCATGAATTGCTGGAGAGAGAGGAAGGAAAAAGTGTTGATTCTGTTTGAAAAACATTGGAGACAGAGAGCAACTGTGGCCACATATACAACGAAGATAAAGGTCATCACTGGGTAATGTACAGGATTCCCAGAGTTTTCAATGACTTTTCCCAGACACTTCCAGCTGTTTGTGATTAAACAAAACGCTCTCTCAAGATAAGAAATTATATTGTGCTTAAAATGATGGGCAATTGGGCATTTTGGACACTATCTTTGTGTATATAAAATGATTCTATTCATGGCTTTAGAATGTTTCACCAGCTAAAAATAGCTTTTTGTGAATATAATCACTACTAAATAATAAAAAAAATCTCCATCCATTAAAAGCAGGAGCTTAAAAAAACAAACAAAAGAATCTCTTGACTACATTCACTAACAATTAATGTCACTTATGCTAGTTTGGTTAAAAATAGATAAGAACGAAAATGTTCCCCATGTAAATTTGTCTCATATTCAAATAGATCACATTAATTCACCATGCAAACCAACAGAAAGCTGCTTGGTTTAAAAAGGCCCTCAGTGTGCAAAGTTAATTTTTACTGGAGTTTTATTTTTTCAGTCACAGTCTTTTGACAAAAATTTTGTTTTAGTCATATTAGTCAGCTGATTTTTTTTGTTTTAATTTAGCTTTAATATCATAAGTACTATATTCTACTGTTTACTGTAAGGCATCAATTGAGCATTTCTCTAAAATTTTCAAACTCATAACAGGAGATAAAATTGGTTAACCTTTTAATATGAATGATATTAAGGTTTGATTGTGCAATATAGACATAGATACAACTGTTGTGACAAATACATATATATATATACACTGAACAAAATTATAAACGCAACACTTTTGTTTTTGCCCCCATTTTTCATGAGCTGAACTCAAAGATCTAACACTTTTTCTATGTACACAAAAGGCCTATTTCTCTCAAATATTGTTCACAAATCAATCTTCCACGACATTCTAATTTATTGAGATGCACCTGTATATAAACACTTCGCATGAAGAAACACAAAAATAGTCTTGTTTTCAATAAAAGCCTAAGAGGTTATATATGCATTCTTTACAACAACTTGCAAACAACATTCTTTCATATTTATTTGTATAACTCAAATATAGATTCATTCTTATCAAATCTATAAAAGTTATTCAGTAAATAGCAGTGAGTGATTCTCTCTTTTTCTTTTGTTGTTTAATTAACATTAAGGACACAAACAGCAGCAGGTTTATTAGGCTGCATTCACTTTAAGACCTAATAAAATCTCTATTAAGATCTAATATGCACATCTGATGTTCTCTGAACTGTTCACATTCACTTAAGACATAATTGACTGTGTTTGCATGAATGCTTACCAAAACGAACATTTTGACATAATTTTGTGTTTATTTGTCCATTCAAGTGTGATAAGACATGAAAGTGAACTCAATTCTGTACTCGTACGCTGTCTGAGAGATGGCTTTCTATGAGCGCGCTTCGGGTGTGTGCACTCAGAAAACCGGACCAAATTGAGTTCTCTTTAGCAACATAATGCTTTTGCAAAAATGTCGTTGACAAAAAACTATGATGAAAATTATTGCTCAATGAAATTGACACTGCCTCTGTGAGCTGTGCTTTATATATTTCTTTTAATATATTTATTTAAAAAAAAGATTTAAAGGCTGAAATGTTTTTTTAAAAATGGTCAAAACTTTATTTGAACATGCAGTGCATGTCAGTAGATAACATTTTATGAATATTTTTTGTTAGTTTAAAATCCGGCCATCATTTTTTAATGCTTTTATTTCACTGTTTATGCAAACAAAAAGTTCATATGTGCTAATTTTATTTGTTGGCTTTTGTCATAAAACTTGCTAAAATGATTTCAGTGTGTGTATCAGTACTTTTTAAAAATATTTCCAGCACATTTTAACAATGCCGTTTATAACAGTTTGGATTTATATTTAAGAGATTTAAGTATTGTATAACATTGGTAGCTCTCAGCTGCATTCATTTTTAAAAAGTAGCTCCCGAATAAAATAAGGTTGGAGTAGGGCTGGACAACAATTCAATATCAATATGTATCGCGATATAATTTTTTTCAATAACGGTGATATGATTTTTAAACACATTTCCGATATACATTACCAGTGTTTCCCATACATTGATTTATTTGTGGTGTTTGATTTCGTTTTTGTTTCAAAACGCGGCGCGGGTGTTTTATATGAATGTATCTCTGAAGGGAACCGACTGTCTTCAGAAAAGTTTCAATGACATTTTCATTTTTATCTGATAAAGTAGCGTTCATGAGCGGAGCTGCTTTGATTACAGCCATTCATTCTAATATGCTGTTTTGCTGATTATCAATATTTAAAACAGTAAATTTTTTTTCAGGATTCTTTGATGAATAGAAAGATACAAAGATCAGCATTTATCTGAAATAAAAAGCTTTTGTAACATTATACACCATTCCATTCAGTATAATTTTTATTATTTTTTTGGGAAAGAAATTATAGAAATTAATACTGATTGTCTTCAGAAAAGTTTCGATGGCATTTTTATTTTAAGTAGCGTTCATGAGCTGAGCTGCTTTGATTACAGCCGTTACCGGGGAAAACTATGTTTCTGCCGCTCTCAGCGCCTCCTGCTGGCAGACAATCAGTTTGCATTTTCAATAATAAGCCCGTCTCCACAGAAATAAATTACATTTGAAAATATTTCCAAAGCGAAAACAGTTATTTTAATTAGTAAAAATATACAAAATGTTACTGTTTTTGCTGTATTTTGGATCAAATAAATGCAGGCTTGGTGAGCAGAAGAGAATTCTTAAAAAAAACAATAAAAATCTTACTGTTCAAAAACTTTTCACTGGTATGTTAGCCTATAGTTTGAAGTTAAAGATATTAATAATTAATAAGGTGAGTCTGAGATGTTTATTTGACAGTGATTTCACATTTCTTGTTTGCATGGAGGCTAAATACAAATAAAAGGTGAACATTAATTTGTGCTTCTTTTTTTCTTCTAAAAAAATAAATAGTTTTATAGGAAGAGGTTTCATAGACTTGGCAAATAAATTTTTCATAAATTTGTAGGTACAGACATCTGTTGTGGGTGTTCTTGGCAGTATTTATGAAGCTTTTTTTAATAATGTTCATATCGATATCGGAATTATATCGTATCGACCGAAATTAAGAAATATATTGTGATATAAATTT